GTACTCGCTCTATCTCAAATTATAAGCTATTTTAACTTTTTTAAAGAGTCAAAGCATATCAAATTTAACTAAATTTATATAATAAAATAATAATATTTATGATATCAAATAAGTATAATTAGATTCTTCATTAATTATTTTTTTATAGTATACATATCTGATGTTATAAATTAAATAATAAGATTCATGATATGATACTAAATAAGTATCATTATAATCTTCATTAATTATATTTTCATAGTATACATATTTGATATTATAGATCTGCGTAATTTTCTCTATAAATTTGATCAAACTTGAGATGCTTTGACTCTCAAGAAAGTTAGAATGACTTATAATTTGGGACGGAGAGAGTATTAAATAGCAACACAATGGTTATTAAAATAATGTTTATGATTGATTATGACCACATGCAAGTATTAACCAACTTATAGACAGACATACAGACAGTCTAATGTACAATATATCTATTTACTTGTCTCTGTGTTAGATTCCAAGATTTTAAAGACTACCTCTATTCATGGGTTGTACATTGCCCTAAAGGGTCTAAAAATCTGGTTTTCTAATTGAGGTGGATAAGTCGCATTCACACAATAGTTCAGGGGTCAGATGACTTTTTTCTTTAAACGAACCATTTTATACCTGGGCCATGTGAGTGTATACGAGTGAGATAAGCTCGCCTTAGCCCGATTAACGAGAGTCAACGCCCCACTGGTGATCACAGAGAAATGCCCCTTGGAGCCTCGATGCATGTCGGCATTCATTCAGAGAAATGAACTGTAAGCGTGGATGCAGAATGGCCACAACATACGCTGATACGCACCAATCGATCGAAACTTGATGAAATTTGGACATCCAAGCCGCTTACAAAAACAGAACGAACAAAGAATCAAGAAACAGTGACAATTTAAACTGGCCATGAAACCAACAGAATTGAGGGCTAGCAGCCCTCCTAGTCCTAATTCAGAGGGTCCCTCCCGGTCTAGGTGAAGCCCGTGTTGGATAAAACAGGATCACAAACACACGGCTATGCTCGTGGCTATCCTAAGCAATCAACAGAACAAGCGATCTGCGAAGAAGAACGCAAGAAACACGATGAACACTGTAGCAACCGCCCGGAGGTCTCCCAGGAGACGGTGCCCTTTTTCACCCCTGATAACTGCAAGTACAGTAAGTATTACAAAGTGTTCCCAGGCGCTCTCCACACCTCAACACACCCACTACTTAAGCCTGTAGCTAATTGACTTGGTACACACGCCAAATTTAGCTAACACACACGATACAAGTTGCCACACCGAATCGACTCGTCTGAGACTCACCCAGGCGTGATCACCATGACAACCGCTGTTGTTCGCCTTGCCATGGTTTCAAATCCGCCAGCTCACGCTTCCCACTTCTCCTTGGCTCCGATTCTTTGAGTCATCAGGATTACGTCAACAATCTCCCCTAATCCTCGAAGACCACTCAGATCCCGAACTCCAAGCAAATGCCTCATGATGCAAGCTTGCTGCGCAGCGGTGGCTTTGTCAATGCATCGACTTTACGTTCTTGATTGCATACCTTTTTCACTCTGCAACCTGCCCACGCTCCACGCACTCTCTCACGATGAAGTGATATTTAATATCAATGTGTTTGCTTCTTCCATGGAACACGGGTTTTTCATCGAGCTATTGCAGAGTTATTGTCAACATACTGGTGTCACCACCTTGGGCTCTTTTGCGTGATTTTCGCCATCGACTCCTTAACCAAAGAGCTGCATCGCTGCATATGTGGCTGCCATGAATTTCGCTTCACGGAAGACAATGCAACAGTCTTTTGCTTCGTGAACACCAAGTGATTAGGCTTTCTCCAAGGTAAAATGCCATTCCTGCAGTCTTTTCTCCCAACCAAGTCACCACCCACATCCTTTGCCAGAGTATCCCATCAACAGCTCTTTGATCCTCCTTGAGTATACACCAACCCAAGCTCTCTGTACCTTTCGGATACGAGGATCTCGCTTAATTGCATTCATATGCATCATTGTGGGTTTTTCCATGAACCTACTAGCAATTCCCACTGAGTAGGCCAAATCTGGTCTTGTATGAAGTAAATACCTCAAAGACCCAATCACTCTTCTATATTCAGTGGCATTTACAGGATGTCCACCCTTGTCACTGTGCAACTTAGTTCCAGGATCCATAGGAAATTTAGTTGCATTACATTTACCCATGCCAAACTGATCCAGCACCTTCTTTGCATAACCAGTTCGTTTCACTGTAGTGAAATCTCTGTACTGCCCAACTTCTATTCCCAGATAGTATGACAGTAAACCAAGGTCAGACATTTCAAATTCTTTTGTCATTTGCTCCTTGAATTCTTTAATCTCCGCTGGGTCCTCTCCAGTGACAATTAAATCATCCACATACACTCCTAGAATGATAGCACTCTTTCCCACACCCCTTGTGTAAACAACTTGCTCACTTGCACACCTTCTGAACTTGAGTTGTTTCAGGCTTCTATCCAGCCTTACATTCCATGCTCTAGGGACCTGCCTAAGACCATACAAGGCCTTACTTAGCTTTAGAACATACTGTTCTTTCCCCTCCACCACATATCCCTCAGGTTGTGAAACATACACTTCCTCTTCAAGTTCTCCATGCAAAAAAACTGATTTAACATCAAGATGGTGCACCTGCCAACCCCTGTTGGCAGCCATTGCCAAAAGCAATCTCACTGTGTCAAGTCTAGCAACAGGGGCAAAAACCTCATCAAAATCTATCCCTTTTTTCTGAACATAACCTTTAGCTACCAGTCTGGCCTTATGTTTTGTCACCTCTCCATCTGAGTTTTTCTTCAATTTATACACCCATTTCAACCCAATGGGTTTATGACCGACTGGTAGTTGACACAGCTTCCAGGTCTTCTTCTTTTCAATTGACTGAATTTCTTTGTTCATGGCTTCAGTCCATTCAGCATAACAACTGCTGTTCCCGCCTTGTCATGGTTTCAAATCCACCAGGCTCACGCTTCCCACTTCTCCTTGGCTCCAGTTGCTGAGTCATCAAGATTACGTCAACAGCCCGCGCCACAGACCGGCCTCAGTCCTCCTGCTTCCGGTCGGCGGGGAGCCTGGGCGACGAGGCGGGCCGCGTCCGGCCGTTGGCGGCGACGGGCGAGGGCTCCCCGGCGATCGGCAGGTCGGAGAGCAGTGCGAGCATGCGACGCGCGCTGAGACTGAGCGACCGTGCGGGGCGGAGGCCGAGGCTCTTGGTGCGCGAGAGCACGGCGGAGGACTGCGACAGGATGAGGTACACCAGCGCCTGCACCAGCACGAACATTGCGGCCTTGATCAGCGCCGCCTGCATCTCGGGCTCCATCTCTATGGCTACTCTTGCCTTGAGGAGCTTCTGCCTTCTGGTCAAATTCAGAACCGACTCTTGCCTTACAGAGTTAGATCGAGTTAGCTTGGATCAGTCTTCCGAGCTCGAGCGAGAAATGGGTCGCTTGTGACTTGTGAGGCGAAGAGGCGGGAGCAAGCGCGCGTTTTTATAGGGAAGGACAGCGACCGGACCGCCGGCTTGACCGTGGCCGACTGGCCGGAGGGCTCGGGGCCTCGGGCGTGCAGAGATGCTTCGTCGCCGACTCGCCGTGGTCTAGGTCTACTGGTCAGGTTCAGTTAATGTGAAACTGTTTAAGCTCAAACCACTCCCACGGGTTGAAACTGAAGCTTCAGAGCTGGGTGTGGTTGCTTGCATCGACGCTTGCGCAAAAATATGCTCCAGTCGCCGTCACTGCTGAGTGCTGCCTGAATGTTTCCTGTGCCGACTGCCGAGCCGTGACGTACGGAGGTTAGTGGAACAGTTAGAATTCTTGGCATTTCAAACGATACATGTCGGCCATTTTATTGTCATGGACTTATTCTCAGATCTGATATATTTTGAGGCGAAAGAAATATAGATACAAATACAATGAACAGACGCAGTCTCGCAGATGAACCATAGTCCATAGGTGGCGCCCCACGTTTGTGAGGGCATCCATCTCCGGTCGTCCTCACAAATTTGGGCTGTCAAATACATATATACTGAAGTATTCCCTCTGTTTCTAAGTAGATCAATTCTTAGAGTTTGTCTTAAATTAAAATATTTTATGTTAACCCAATTTACAAAAAAAAATATGAACATTTATGACAAAATGAACACATTATAAAAATTTAGTTTATCGTGTATTCAATCTATATCTAATACTAAAGAGGCAAAATTTCTGCCACATAATTTCCGTCCAGCCCACGTGTCCGTGTCGGTCTGGGGGTGCTCGCCGGTGTTCGATTCATGTTGCGTTAGCGTTGATAATGGAGATTAGGAGTGGAGAGGAGAATAGAAAGAAATACGGGGTTCCAGATGTAAAGATGCTAGAGAGAAACAAAAGGTGAGAGGATCTTAATAGTTTTCGAAATAGATCGGGGTCCCTGATGTAAAATATTCAGATCCGGGTGGATCTCTCCTAGTGGGCTTCTTTTTCGACCTAGGCTGAATCCTTGCACTTGGGCCGGCTTCGTTGTGATCACGCCCATGCAAGCTTTTTTTTTTTTTTCTATAAAAACAGAGATCCTGTAAATTCACCAAAAATCGTAGAAAAATAAAAAAAATGTCAAACCAGTTTTATTAGCTTCATAAAAATGTGATCTATCCATAGATGATATAAACCTGGTTAGGTTGTGCTTTGTCTATAGATGTGCTAAATCATCCATGCATACGAGAGTCAATGCCCCACTGGTGATCACAGATAAATGCCCCTTGGAGCCTCGAGGCATGTCGGCATTCATTCAGAGAAATCAACTGTAAGCGTGCATGCAGAATGGCCACAACATGCGCTGATACGCACCAATCGATCGAAACTTGATGAAATTTGGACATCCAAGCCGCTTACAAAAACAGAACGAACAAAGAATCAAGAAACAGTGACAATTTAAACTGGCCATGAAACCAACAGAATCGAGGGCTAGCAGCACACCTAGTCCTAATTCAGAGGGTCCCTCCCGGTCTAGGTGAAGCCCGCGCCACAGACCGGCCTCTGTCCTCCTGCTTCCGGTCGGCGGGGAGCCTGGGCGACGAGGCGGACCGCGTCCGGCCGATGGCGGCGACGGGCGAGGGCTCCCCGGCGATCGGCAGGTCGGAGAGCAGCTCGAGCATGCGGCGCGCGCTGAGACTGAGCGACCGCGCGGGGCGGAGGCCGAGGCTCTTGGTGCGCGAGAACACGGCGGAGGACTGCGACAGGATGAGGTACACCAGCGCCTGCACCAGCACGAACATTGCGGCCTTCATCAGCGCCGCCTGCATCTCGGTCTCCATCTCTATGGCTACTCTTGCCTTGAGGAGCTTCTGCCTTCTGGTCAAATTCAGAACCGACTCTAGCCTTACAGAGTTAGATCGAGTTAGCTTGGATCAGTCTTCCGAGCTCGAGCGAGAAATGGGTCGCTTGTGACTTGTGAGGCGGGAGCAAGCGCGCGTTTTTATAGGGAAGGACAGCGACCGGGCCACCGGCTTGACCGTGGCCGACTGGCCGGAGGGCTCGGGGCCTCGGGCGTGCAGAGATGCTTCGTCGCCGACTCGCCGTGGTCTAGGTCTACTGGTCAGGTTCAGTTAATGTGAAACTGTTTAAGCTCAAACCACTCCCACGGGTTCAAACTGAAGCTTCAGAGCTGGGTGTGGTTGCTTGCATCGACGCTTGCGCAAAAAATAAGCTCCAGTCGCCGTCACTGCTGAGTGCTGCCTGAATGTTTCCTGTGCCGACTGCCGAGCCGTGACGTACGTTGGTCAGTGGAACAGTTTCTTGACATTTCAAACGATACATGTCGGACATTTTATTGTCATGGACTCATTCTCAGATCTGATATATTTTGAGGCGAAAGAAATATAGATACAAATACAATGAACAGACGCAGTCTCGCAGATGAACCATAGTCCAAAGGTGGCGCCCCGCGTATGTGAGGACATCCATCTCCGGTCGTCCTCATAAATTTGGGCTGTCAAATACATATATGCTAAAGTATTCCCTCTGTTTCTAAGTAGATCAATTCTTAGAGTTTGTCTTAAATTAAAATATTTTATGTTAACCCAATTTACAAAAAAAAAGAACATTTATGACAAAATCAGCACATTATAAAAATTTAGTTTATCTTGTATCCAATCTATACATAATACTAACGAGGCAAAATTTTTGCCACATAATTTTCGTCCAGCCCACGTGTCCGTGTCGATTTTTTTATTTTTAACATTTTTTGTAAACTAATTTTAAATCACTGTTTTTTTTAAACTAGACCGCACCTATTTTCCTATCATGGCGAAACGCCTGTGCCGCGTCATTCATGGTGGCGCGGCGAGAGGGATGACGTGGCGATGACCGGGGCGCTGATCGGTGACGTGGCAGGGTCTGCCGCGCCACGGATCTTGCCGCGACAGTGAGACGCCCTGATCGGTGGCGCGGCAAAGCCGGCTAAAGGCCCGCGCCCGATCCGCCGCCTATCCGCGCCCACGCGCTACCGCCGCGCCGCGCGCTTCCGCCATGCGTGCCCGCCACCACTTCATCGCCGCCGCGCGGCGCCGACGCTTCGCCGTGCCGCCGCGCCATTTAACGCCGCCGCCAGCGCCACGGCCGTCGGCCGCCCGCTGCGCCCTCCACGCCCGCACACCAGCGCGCCACCCCCTCCGTCCGCCCGCCGTGCCCTCCGGCCATGCACGGCGGCTGCCCGCCGCTCCACGGACGCCCACCGCGCCCGCCACCGCCCTCACTGTAGCGCCCATGACTGCCGCCGCTGCCCTCACTGTCGCCCTATACACCGCTCCCAACTGCCGCACGCCCTTCTCTTTATCCCGTGTCCACCCGCCGCCGCCGCAGAGGCCACTGCCTGCGCCTCCTGGCCCGGTCAGCGCGCTGCCACCGCGAGGACGAGCGCCGCTATTGCGAGGTACTCCCCTAGTGTATTTGTTGATTGAATCGACATTGTTAGTATAGTAAGTTGGTAAAATAAATAAAGTTAGTATAATTAGTAAAGTATAGTTAGCATAGTTAGTAAAGTTAGTTAGTTTAGTTAGTATAGGCAATATAGTAAGTTAGTATAGATAGTAAAGTTAGTTTAGTTAGTACAGTTAGTAAGTCTAGTTGTACATTAGTTGTTGTAGTTAGCCTTGTATAGATGTTAATATTAGATTAGTTAGTATAGTTATAGTTAGAATAGATATTAATATTACTATGGACATTACGTACGACGATTTCGATGAATTGATGAAGTTTCTTAAAATGCTTTTATAGATGGATTGTTGTGTTAGAGTTTTTTACGGAGGAAGTGTTAGGAGAGAAGATGGTATGTTTGAGGATATGGAAGAAAAATTGGAATGGTTTGATGAACCTCCTAGCTTCAATGACCTTTGTGTCCGTTTGAATGCAAAGTTTGGTGGTGATTTCACACTGAAGAGAATGTTTGATACTGGGAAAAATAGGGCACACTATGTCCTCATGCCCTTGAGCGACCCTGCTCACTGGTCCTGCTACACTAGGGTGCTCCAAAGTTCCAATGTGCCCATGGCTGAGGTGTTGGTGGAGAATGGGTATAGGATGTAGGCTGTCCAGGACGGGCCGTCCATTGACGGTGTTGGAGGCAATGAGCAAGAATTGGAGGTCGAAGGGGAAGCAGCTCAGGGTAACATGGATTTGGACGGTCAGTTGACGCAGGAGCAGTTTTATTCAAGTCAAGTAGGTTGTATAAGCAATGATTTCGATGTGAACGAGTTCGAACTGGAAGAGGAGAAGTAGAAGGAGGAGGACATGATCGGTGATGTAGTTAGCAGTGATTCGAACGATTCAGATGGTGACCAGGGAGATAGACATGCTATGCCCACACCGATTGATGCCATGCCAATAACTGTTCATGGTATGCCATTACCAGTACCAACTGAGGTTTTGCATGCTATCTAGTCTCAGGGTAGACTAGTCATAGATTTGCTAGCAGATGATACCCCCTATGATTCATGGGGCAGAATTAGCGAAGCGCAGCGGTATGTTCCACCACCACCTTACACAGCGACTGAGCTTGAGCAACTAAGGTCGATGAACATACCTTTCAGGGGTGTTCCAAACTATAGGGATGTCAGCATGACAGATACGGCAGTTTGTGACACCGGTCTCCAGATGTGTAGGAAATCATTGTATGACCATGAGAAAAAAACCCTTAGGAAGGGGATGATATTCAATACAATGTCAGAGATCAAGCTCTTCCTTTAGGACTAGGTTGTGTATCACCATAGGCTGTACAACATCACTCATTTGGACCAGGAGTTGAGGTACCACATGATATGCAAAAATGGTTGTATGTGGAGGTTAAATGCACGAAAGAGACAGAGTGATGGCAAGTGGAGGATAAGTAAAGTTGTCGAACCCCACACTTGCCTAACAAATAGGGGAAGGAAAATCATTAGCAGCTCACCGCACGTTACCTTGCCCGTCATATATTGGGGCTCGTTGATGACAATAATGACATTTCAGTGTTTTCTTTACAACAGTCCATATCTGGATTCGTTAAGTACGATTTGAAGTACGGAAAGGCTTGGCGTGCTAAGAAAATTGCCCTGACGATTCATTGGGGTAGTTGGAAGGAATCATACAACAGGGTGCCCCGCATCTTATGTGCAATGTATTACTACAACCTTGGCTTGAAATGGTTTGTGGACACCGGAGGGATGTGTTTTCGGGACCCGTTGAGGCATGTCCTCTATTGTGTGTTCTGGTCATTTGTGCAAACGGAACATGCATTCCAGTTTTATCGGCCAGTCGTACTTGTTGATGACACTTTCGTAATAGGAAAGTACAAGGGCACCTTGATGATGGTTGCTGCTGTTGATCTTGAGGACCAGATAGTACCCATGGCATTTGCTTTGGCAGAGGGAGAGAACAATGAATCATGGTCATGGTTCATACGGCTTCTACGTGTACAAGTGCTTGGCCCATCTCGCACTATATGTTTGATCTTGGACCATCACCCATGACTTCTTAATGCTGCAGCTGAGCATATAGATGGGTTCCCGCCTTTAGTGCATAGATGGTGCATGAGACACTTTGCCGCTAATTTCTAGCGACGTCAGAGGAAGTAGGAGGTATGTGACAAGGTAAAGGCTCTATGTTGCGTACGTACAGAGCACCAGTTTAAGGAGACAAAGAGAGAACTAGACAAGATGGTAAATGAAGCGGGAAAGGCCTAGTTTGAGGCGCAGATCGAACATAAGGCTCAGTGGGCATTAGCATATGATGAGGGGGGTTTTAGGTATGGCATCATGACCACTAACTCCTCGGAGTCCTTTAACCGTGTATTCATCGAAGTTCGATCATTGCCTGTGTCTGGAATTGTTGAGTTCTCCTTTCATAAGTGCAACGAATATTTTGTTAAGAGGTGGGAACTTGTGCAGAGGAATATAGCTAAGCAGGAGCATTTTGGAAAGGCCAAAGCAGAACATTTGAAGGAGGCCGAGGAATTGGCCAAGCAGCACACCACCGAGCCATATGGACCCCGCCGCCATATCTATAGTGTACAGGGCAAGGGTGGCACAAGCTTGGGCAACGAACGTTATGGTGGATGAAACTACCGAGTTGATCCTAAAAAGGTAGAGTACAGTTGCAACGTCCCTCAAATCATGCATGCCCTTTGCTCTCATATGATCATGGCTTGTAGGGTTCGCGGGTACAGCTATGAGGATCTACCATATATATCACCCTTGTATCTCCGTTCGAACACCGTTAGTATTTGAGAGATGAGCTTTGAGCCATACCTTGACCCGACACAGTGGCCACCTTATAATGGTTATGACTACATGTCGCATCCGGATCTAATGAAGGTAGGGAAGGGTAGGAGGAAGAAAAAGTGACTCAAGGGGGACATGGACACTATGAGAGGGTACGGTGAAGACATGTATGGAGGGGGAGACTTCAACGAGACCCACGGCAGGAATCTTTGCTTTGTTTGCAAAGACCCTAGTCACAAGGCTAGCTGGCATAGAAGACGAGAGCAGCAGGTCCATACATAGAAGTTTTAATTTTTCAATGCTACATAATGTGTCGGGTTCATAAACCCGGGGTCCCTCATGGATCGGCTTTCCAGTAAAAGCTCGGCCCAGCAGACGATGTTACGAATGACGCGCAACTCCTGGGCCGGCCAAAATACCTAAACGATAGGCCAGAAGGGAGATTGAATCTCCGACTGGAAGGCCTCGCTAAAGAGGAACAACGCTCGCTTCTGACTCCGACCCGCGTCTCCGACAGGAAGGCCTGACCAAGGAGGAACGACACTCGCTTCTAACTCTAG